GCTTTATCACAGGTAAGACCTACCTTTACGCTGATGGTTTAAAAATCATCTATATAACTGACATTTGCGATGTACGTAGTACTATGCAAACAATCCAACATGAACTCAACAAGGTGGACAACTGGTTCAAACGCTGGAGGTTGGAGCTCAACGCAGAGGAATGCGGCTTACTATGTATTGGAGACACGTCTTTTAGGATTAAACTTTTACTTAGCAGGAGCACGCTGCCTCAACTCACATCAGTAACTCACGTTGGGGTACATTACTCACATGGTCTTAATTTATCTGGATATATCTCAACCAAAGCATGTAAAATGCGTAAATTGCTTGGTTTCATTCATTATAATTCCTCTCAAAATAAATCTGAAATCATTCTTTATAAAGTCTGTGTAAGACCTATTGTTGAATACTGTTCACTCTTATTTTCCAACCTACGCCTACTTAAGTTAAAAGGAATACAATGAGATTTCACCCGCAAAATGCTTAAAACCATATCAGTCATTGACTGCAGTTCCCGACGCCATATCTTAGAAATAGAACCCCTTTGGAAGAACGAATTGGGTCCGATTTGATTATCTACTTCAAGCTCTTCAAAAACCTTACTTATTCCACATGTAATATAGTTCTTGCCCAAGACTCACATGAATACGATCTTCAAGATAAAGTATCTACAGTCAAAATTGAAAAATAAAAATCAAAAGTTCGAGAAAACGTCCTCATCAAGTATGAATTAATATGGAACAGTCTTCCCCCTGAAATACATATGGCAGGTGAATTACACTTGCCTGTAAGACTTATTGATCAAGCGCTCGCTTGCATTGATCTAGCAAGTACGAACACATTTGCATCCCACTCAGATATCATAGGCTCTCTACATGTATAGACCGAATTAGACTCTAATTTCATTTGCCTTACTTTAATACTTTGCAGTTGTATTAGATACTTCCCCCCCCGCTAACTTAGTACTTGAAGTAGACAGACAACTCACTGAACCTATCGATACTGCTCAAATGAACTCGGTGGCTAACGGACGCTCACTACTACCCTAAAAATTGAAGAAGACCGCACAATCGACTGCTTATTACCAGTGGTCTTGCATATATGGAGCCTGTTACCCATCTATTGTATCTGTTAGTAGTTTTGGTTCTAACAATCTGCAGTTTTCCAATTTTTTTGGTCATAAATTATTTTTGTCTTTGAGTATTATTGCATCCAGTTCTTCTTTAAAAAAAAAGAAGACCTCTGTTTAATGACTGGACAGTGCAAAAAACGCAATTGCCAAAGTCCGGGCTGTTGTTATCTCGTTGAAAACGGCATGAAGTGCGATGAGTGCAAGGGATGGTACCACGAAGCCTGCATGAATTCAACGCATGCGTCTTTGAAACGGTTCAGTAAACACGGTTTAGTATGGCTTTGCCAGCAATGCTGCTCGGATGAAAACAGCTTGTTAACCGAGGCCATTTCATTGTTAGGTGCAGCAAAAAGTGTTTTGGCAAGCGTGGTCGGGACACATCGGACATACTCGCTCTGTCGACACGCAAATCCATGTCAAGCAGGTGACTCACACCGACCAAAGGAGGAAAAACAGTCTTCAAAGATGTATATCTTAACCAAAAACTCAAGAAAAGAAGTTTCTTCCGTCCCCTGTCTTCTAAATGGTATCCAGCAGGAAACGCCTGGAAGCCGCGATCGCAAGGCTCGATCGGTTTCAAGCGGGAAACATAATCTGACCTTCCAAATCGTCGACAACCCTCCGGAACCCCACAGCATGCTTGATACGACTTTGGTTGCTTCTTCAAGCAACGTTGACAAATGGGTACAGGTTGTAAGGAAGAAACAACATAACGATATATGATGGAATCCAGCCCCCCAAAAAGCAGTCGGGAAATCGAAGGCTGATCACACTGACAGACCAGTTATTTTCCGTAGAATCAAGGAGAGTGAAAGCTCTGAACCCAAAACTCATTTTGAGCACGACATTGTGCTGATAAAATAGCTAACTAATCAACACGTGCCTCAAAATATCTCCGGAGTCACCTTGCTAAAGGTGTACAGACTGGGTGTTCTAACGAATTTGAAGCCTAATCGATCCAGACTGCTTAAAGTAGTATTCAAATCCTCAAATGAACGCGGTTTAATTTTAAAGAATGGACATGAAATAAAGGGTTCAGGAGTTTTTATCCGTAAGGACTTGCCGTTGGCAGACCATGTTAGAGACGGGAAGCCGAAAAATAACTACAAATTAGGCTAGACGCTGACGAAAAGGACCTGAAAAATGCAAATTTTCGGGTTGTGAGGCTTCGACAGAAAGTGATGTCGAAGCCACTCTGGATGCAACACAGAGCCATTTAAATAGGTTTCGAATCTGTTACACAGATGCCTGAAAATTGCTCAATAAGCGGTCGGAACTAGGTGCACAGATTGACTCTACAAAGCCAGACATAATCGCAGTCACAGAAACCTGGCTGACACAGTCTGTATATAGTATGGAACTTGATTTTGAGGGCTTAACGTTAGTAAGGACCGACATAATACAAAAGCGTAAAGGAGGGGTTATAGCTCTATTCAATAGGAATGCTATCCCGTTTGCCATTATCGACAGTGTATTCCATGGGAGTGGGACGTCTGAATTAGTTAGTTGCCACTTGAAATGCAAGGGACAAGAGCTACTGATTAGTTTGGTCCATCGCAGTCTAAGCTATTAGGTAAATGAGGTCCTGCTAAGCAGTCTCAATACTTGGTCACAAATTAGTCGATGTTTAATCCTAGGGGACTTTAATGCACCTATGGTTGACTGGAAAAATCTGCGAACTGAATCGTCAGAAAATTCCTTCGATCAGGAACTGGTTGATTTGGTTATCACATGTACCCTAGTGCAACATGTGAAAGAAGCGACTAGGTACGACGCGGACACTGAATCATCCTTACTGAATCTTTTATTGTCTCACTATGAGGATGACGTTGCGAACCTCCATTACATGCTACCTCTAGGTAAAAGTGATCACGCAGTTTTAATTTTCGCCTTCCATATAACTGTCAATCACGAGCACGCGTTAGCTCAACCCAGACCTAACATCTGGGAAGTAAACATACCAGATATCATGCACTCAGCATTGTTAGAAGATTAGAAAATAGACCCAGAGTCCTCAATTGAAAGGGTTTGTGTTAGCGCGACGTAAACTGGATTAAAGCATGCTCAATGCACGATTGCTTTGGTGTCTAGAAAGTTGTACGAAGAAAAAATTGTTAAGGAATGCATAGAATGTCGTAAACGCTTGTACTCATATGTAAACCATGGGACAAAAAGAAGAGAAAATATTTCTGCATTATGGGGGGACGGTATTTCCGCATCATTAGTGGAGGACGACTTTATTATGGCTCAAGTGTTCTCAAAATACTTTAGCAATGTATATACCATAGAAGCACTCTTCCCGTCAGCGCGTATAAATCCCACACACGTATACTGGATAACGTGGCCATCAAAGAACTCGATGTATTTAATCTGCTAAATAAGCTTAACACAGGTAAATCCACGGGGCTCGATGAATTGCATCCTAGGCTACTGAAGGAATTATCTAACTTCGTTGCGAACTCTTTAAGCATATGCTTTAATCAATCCGTAACGCAAGGTCGTTCACCGAAAGACTGGAAGAACGCAACATTAAGTCCTGTCTTCAAAACAGGTACGAAACATAAACCTGACAATTACCGGCCCGTTAGCCTAACTAGTGTGGTTGTTAAAATCTTAGAAAAGATTATTCGGAAGGAGCTGTTTAAGTACCTCGATGAAAACCGGATCCTTTCGGAGAAGCAGCACGGTTTTAGAATAAGTTATCCTTTTCTAGTGCGCTCTTAAGGACCAGAAGCTACTTGTAGACGTAGCCTTCATTGATTTCAGCAAAGATTTTGAAAAAGTTCCGCACAACTGGCTGTTATATAAGCTAAGAAATGTCGGAATTGGAGGCAATCTGTTGATGTACATAAAAGACTTCCTAGTTGGGAGCCAACAACGGGTGCGGGTGAATTCAAAGTTATCTAGCTGGAAAACTGTGCTTAATGGAGTGCCCTAGTGCACAGTTTTGGGGCCAGTGCTATTCCTGTTGTATGTAAATGTCCTTCCTCGTCTCCTATCATCATCGGTCTTGCTATATGCTGACGATGCCAGATATGGAAAACGATACGGTGTAAGGATGATGGCTTAGAACTCCAAAATGACCTGACGAAATTATCTGAATGGTCTCAAACCTGGCAGTTGCCGATAATTACTTCTAAGTGTGTTGTGATGCATATTGGTCATCAAGGTACAGATACATACATGATGAATAACATTGAGCTACCTGTCGTCCAGACACATAATGACTTAGGAGTCATCGTTCGCCGAGACTTAAAAACTACTGCACACTGACGTGCAATAGCCACTAAAGGTTTTAGAACCTTATGGTCAATACGTAGGGCTTTTAGTCATGTGGATGCTAAAACGTTTTTGACTTTGTATACAGTGTTCGTACTTCCTAAACTTGAGTGATGCATACAGACTGCTAGCCCCTGATTAAAAAAAGACAGTGAGCTCCTGGAAAAGGCTTAGAGAACAGCAAATAAGCTGATTCCCGGAATAGAGAAGCTTCCATATGATGCTCAACTGGCCAAGCTAAACCTATTCCCGTTGTCATATCGTAGAACTAGAGGCGACTTAATTACAGTTTTCAAATTGCTTAGTGATAAATTTGCACCTGATATGCCCTCATTTTTCTTGTCTTCCAAGGCAGGGAATTTGCGAGGACACTACAAAAAGGTTCACAAGCCCAGAACAAATTGCTTGTCAGCTGACTATCGACTTTCCCTTCGAATCATCAACGAGTGGAATTCATTACCTCAACACGTGGTTGAGGCTCCATTCGTCGACACTTTCAAAAGAAAGTTGGATCAACTCAGAGACCACCATTGCTAGGACTAACACAGGCCATTTAGTCCCCTGTCCTTTCCAAACTGAAGACTGAGGACTGAGACATAGAAGGCGCTATTTTAAAATTGGTTGGCTTCCTGTGGGTCATCAATGTGATGGTTATAATCGCCTTGACTACAAAAATTATGTGAATTTTAGTTCTACTAATAATCACCTGGTGTTTAATAAAATGTTTCGAAATGTTGGGCGTTTATTTCGATACTCTCTTGACAGAAGATGTAAGTAATACATAAATTGACATTGTAAACTGAACCGTCAGTCAACCATTTATTTAAAGTAATTTTCGGCGATACTATAATTTATGGACGAACCATTCAGGTATAAGATAACAGGTTTCAGATTTTGGAGCGAAGTCCACTCACCCATCTGGCTAAATAGAGTTTTGGCATTGTAGCCGATGTCAGTTCATGATGATGACCCTAGACCTAAGCCCTAACATTAACCATCAACTCTAAATCATAATTCTACTTGCTAACACTAATTTATAACCCTCATTCGGTGAACACTCTCAAAGTTAGTTTGGTGTCACTAAGAAGTCGTCCATGGGTTATATCTTTGCAAGAATGGCAAGGCCTTGCACTAACACATTGTGATGAGCCATCAAGAGGAGCCAAGATGTTTATGTGCCTGAAATGAGACTGGTAAAGGTGGTGTATGAGGCAAGATTTATCTCCGTATAACAAAAGGTGACTGCTTGGAGTTTGGGTGATAAATGTGTCAGGTTTTCACTTAAGATTACTATATATTTTCCTAAATTAGGTCCTAGAGATCGTGCAGTTTAGTGGTTTAAAATATCACTGGACATGATTCAAATTAAAATCCGGTAACAATTCTCCAGTCTTTCATTCGTCATCAAGATCAAGATGCAAACTACTAAATGGAATGTCTTACTGGGACTGTTATTTATTTATTTATTTATTTCAACACATAGATAATGGTACAAAGAGGCACCAAATACATATGCGCCACACAAATCTCATCCGATATGTGTGAGGGCTGTGATACTGCCCGGGTGCCCAAACCGAAGCAGGTGGTTTTCTTAGGGGGCCACACCCCTTACTGGGACTGTATTGTTTGTTGCATACCGTTTCATTCTTCATATTTTGTTTTCCTCATCATTTCTCCATAACACTATTCTCTATATGGTGCGTTTCTTATATCACGTCTTCACCGTGTTAACATTTTCCATCTTGATGATTATATACATTCTGCCATGATCCCTTTGTCCCTCGTTACCTATTTTTTGTAGTCTTCACAAAAAACTGCTTTTAAAAACTCAGGTGGCTTTCAAATTACTCTTGTGTGTGCTCGATACATATTCTTGCAGTTGCAGAAAGTTTTCTCACAATTTCTTCGGCTAACAAACCGATAACATTTTTTTCGTCCATTTCTGAGGACGATGATTTACTGCCTTATTGTGTTAGATTTTTTCATAATAAAGGGTGCTGTCTTTTAATTATTTCGTAAGTAAGTAGTTCAGGAAATGCACTCTTTGTTTGTTACTTCAAACTATTAATTAACGTGTTACCATTACTTGATTTTTCGTAGCATGAAATTTACAGAATCTTGGAACACTGCTGTAGCAAAGTGTTTTATCTGCTGTAACCTCAGCTGGAATGAGTTATTACACGATACTTTCATCAATAGTTATTGTTAATGATGTTATTGCTGTTATTATTACTATTGCCATTACGTCATTATTACTATTATAACAGCAACTTATGATAATTAGTAGTATTTGAATTATAGTACAAACTAGGATTCCCAGAAATAATGCAATTGGATCAAGAAGGACTAGATAAGCACGAGACAGTGAAGCAGTGAAACATGGCCGGTAAGAGTAGAGGATATTCGTAGGTTAATAGTATTTGATCATAGGTGTCTTCGAAACATTGCTCGTATATCCTGGGACCATCGAGTAAGTAACGCAGTTGTTAGGAAACGGGTACTAGATAAGGATGGCAAATCAATTGAAGTAGTGAAACTTCATCAGTTGAGATAGCTGGGACACGTGTTACGTATGCCCAACGACCGACTGCTTCGACGTGCGATGTTCAGTGATATAGGAGTAGGTTGGAAGAAAGCTAGGGGCGGCCAGACCAAAACATTGCACAAATCCATGAAGTCACTGACAAGTAAACTGAGCCATGTTGGTAGGTATAGACTATCTGGTTGGGATCGGCGAGACGATGGCAACCGATGGTGAATGACCTTGAATGACATGGCTTGAAATCCTTTGCAATGGCTCAGGTGCATCCACTCTTTGTGTTCTTCCAAATTCTAATCTTCTGACTTCTTCATATCCCTTTTTTTCTCTTTCCAAATTTATTTCACTGAATTATACTCCTTGAATAACACCTTCAAACCCTAATGTTTCCGATTACTACTTATACTCTTACTACTTCTACCACTATGTGATTTGAATCGACCACTATATCTGTGTGCTAATGTGTTATGTCAACTCGAACTGATGTACGTACGTACGAAGTTCTACGTTGTTACTGACTGACTGACTAAGATAAGCACGAACGAATGTACTGTATTTGGAATTCGAAATCAAGCATTCAACAAGTACAAAGGAATTGTTAGTTCATACAAACACCACACAACTACAACATAACGCTTCCGATACTGTGCTAACTATTTTGCATACGATTTTATATTATTGATTACAACTCATCACCTTAAACAGGACTTGATTCTTCTCACCCTTTATGTATGACATTTTCTTAACATTTCCAATGACGTTTTGTCAGTAATTTTTACTATTTATGACTCGATTGGCGTGAAGTTTTCCATTTTCGCTTTGTAACATATGTTAATTCAGCTTTAATATTTTGCCTATCGTAACACAAAAATGAAAGCTTTGGACATATATTTGCAGAGCCTGATGGAGAAGTTACCGAAAACAATCGTTCGCACTAATGCTCTTTGCTTTTAAATATTCTGTAGGAATTTTTAAGTCCTTAATGTTTTGAGGTTTTCTTACAACTGTCTTAGCTTCATTGTGATATATACACACGACGACCATCCGTGTTTCTTCTACAGTTCTACAACGTTCACTTTGCTCATGACTACGTCTTTTCTAAACCTATTATTCAATTACAGTATTCAATAAATGATTCAGTTCATTAACTTCTTTAAAGCTTATAATGTTATGTGTTAGCCGTCGTTCATAATGATATTTTATTTGATTACAACTTATTCTGTTGTTAATCATGTTCATTATCTAGGTTCAAATTTAGTAGATGTGGATTCAAATAAAGTGTACGATGAGTTGCTGAAGAAATCATACTTACTACCTGAAAATGGGCATAATGTTGTGATTATTCAACCACGTAAGTTGCATGTTGTTTCTTTGTTTAAATTTTGATTTTTTTAGTCCCATTTAGTTATATTCGGTATTTGTAAACACTAATTCAGCGAAACCGACTCCGGTTTCGTATTTGAGTTTTTATGTTAGAACATTCAGGAAACTTGATGTCGTCCACTAAGATTAGAACCTATATCATTCAGTACTGTTGTCAAGCTAGATCAACAAAATTTTGTTAATATTACGAAACCCCAGCGACTAAAGTGGTTTTTAAAGTCGCGTTGTTAGTTTTTCATGATGATTTTTCATATAGACGGGAATTATATCATACCCTGATATGCTCGTCAAACAAGTCCCATAACTAACACTATGTGAATAGTAATAACTCAGAAAATAAGCTGAATTTTCTGTCATACTCTTGGTATACTATTAAAGGAATTGCTAGTAGACAGGAATTTCTACTTACATAAACGTAGTAAACGGAAATACTAGCTTTCAAAAAGATTATGTCTCTACACTTTTCGAGATTAGTTATCTTGTAATTCATTTTTCATGGTCTTTGCTGAGGGCTATGCATTTTTTGGGAGAAAATCAATCGAAAGGTTTATTAATAGCCGACCAATTTACTACATATTTTGAAGAGGGCAAAGACAAAAAACCGGACTAAATAACGAATTCATTTTATTCCGTTGGGTTCTTATCAGCTTCCTACAATCTATCATATTTCAAAATCTAAGTTATCACAAAGTTTACATACTTATAGCAGTAGAATTGAATATGTATTATCATGATGAAATGGCGAATCGATTTTCGTCTTTGATTTTGATTGCATTATTCTTTTCTAATTCATAATTTTATTTTAACTGGCTGACCTCAACTCATGGTATTCTTAATTGCTATTAATTTATGTTCAACTACGTCATTACTTAGTTAGTTATTTATTTCAGCTCTATGATCTCTTGTTACCATGTCCGATGACCTAGAGCTTCTCCATTATCATATTTATTTATAGCACTTTATGTCTCCAAATGCCCTGGTATGGTCGAGGATGGTTAGAGTCCACTCTCCCTCTCGAAATACTCTCACATGGCCACGCGTATACAGCCACTGCCAAAGAACTCCTACTCACTGAATTCTCGCGGCAGGGGTGTTGTTTACGAAATTGAGAGGACGAAAAACGAATGCCCGGCGCTTTAACGGGGTGGGTGGATATGGAGGATCCACCTTGGGGTGGAAAGTTGGGAAATCCAGATTCCAAACCAATAGTGTACATGAGCCCCAGGATTCTGCAGGAACAGATGGCGTATGAAACGATTGTTGGTCGCGGGCTATCACGGGACTTCATCTCCTTACGTTGCTCCACTGCTTTGTGGATCAGACCTTTAGGTCGAAGGCTCTGGGTGTGGCCCTCTAAGAAAACCACCTGCTTCAGGCTTGTTGAATGTACCTTCATTGTAGCCTGTCTACTATTAACAGCTATCGGAATGTATACGAAATGTAAATACAATCAGCCTAAAGTTCGAAAGCCATTAAAACTTGGTGAATCACAGAAATATCGAAATAGGAAATTCATAGTTCTGAAGAATTGATTCTTGTTGGAGAAGTGTTAGGTATCGCAACTTGTTATCCTAGCAAGTTACAAATGACCAAGTTTGTTTTTTCTGTAGAGATACAGCCATCAAATTAAATCAGGTGCTTTTTACTGCACATTCAAGGAAGAAAGAAGGTAAATAATTAGAACTGTATAAGAAACAAACTGACAAATGGCGAGTGGATAGGGTCACTCTTTAACTAAACGATAATAAGTTAGCAATAGATGAACAACAGTCGAGTTCATGATCTTAACCTGAGACTGCTTTCTAAGTCATTATAGACAATAAATCGATAGCGAGAATGAAATTTTATTTATCCAGAAGTATTTTGATTCTTCATACAAGGATTCAATCGACACTGACCATCATATAAGATGGTACATTCTATCTAACGTGTTTTATACTGGTTTAATCAGGATCTTACTTTACAAAATCAATTTTTATCTCTCAAAGTTCATAAAAAAATATTTAGGAAAATAAGTTAGTAGCCTATATAAAAACTGGTCTGAGGTCAGCACTCTAACTGATTCGATACTGCTGAAATATGATATTTAGGAACTAAAAGTCATCGAATTATTAGATGGCCTGAGAGCTTTTGTACTTGTGGATGGAATTACTGTGGTCAAAACGAAATATTGTCGGGCTGAATTTCTCTGACCAAGCTAGAAATTTCTGACCGAGTTAATGTCATTAGAGATACTTAGAATTCTACAAAATTTGTCATTTCCATTACAAATACTAGAAAAATAAATAATTCATTAATCTTTCATAAGACTTAACCATATTATCAATTGACTGTCAAACATTTAACTCCAGCCAAATTGATAGCACATTTAGTAATTATGGACTTTAATAAACTCACTGGAAATGACATGATAATTTTACTTGTTAAGTACCAACACTATTCCATAGATCATTTGAATCTGTAAAATACTATTAAGCATCAAATATTTCTTTTAGGTAAGCAAACAATGATGCATATGTAATAGTGATCTGAAGATTCTGGGTTTAGTTATGAAAGGAGACTTAAGATACACAATATTATAGAGTTTTAAACAAAAACAAATTAGCTGTCTATTTAGTAGTTTTTCTTTTAATATTATTTATTAATAGGAACTTATCAAATTGTTTAATGTTTACATTAAAGATTTAAAAGGTGTATTTTACACTAGGATCAACAACAGCCTATCATACTTACCTAAAAATGATCCCAATGTAGACGAAGCTATCGCTCTTGTGGATTCATTAGGATTTTGGACTACCGTTGGTGTGGTAAGTGTAATTATTAGTTCATTAAAGTCTAATATTAATCATAGATTTTCTAGGTTGAATACTGCATTACTGATGTAAAGAAAATATTTTATTCTGTCTAGTTATTCGTTTTAATCTTTAATATGTCCTGCGGTATTTCATGAAGAGTTCCTCAACATCAGCTAATAAAAAATAGATGAATAAAGTAAAGATAACTAGAATTTTCCTGCGATGTAAACAGATTATTATGTAGCATTTCTCTTCGTGTTGACCACAAAATTATTGAATCAAGAAGTCTCATCTGATCATATTCAGGCTCATTTTCATCTTCAATAGGCTGTTTTAACATTGTTTAAAATTTCATTACTTTAGTTCCAGAGATAATTATTTGTTCTAGTATTCTACGTTTGCATAAAAGACTCTTCCAACTACTTATAAGAGCACTTAGCATGTTAACTGTATATGTAGAACTAATGATCACGAATACATGTTGTCTTCTAGGCATATATACAAGATCTTAATGTGATAATTTGTGAATCGTCATATGTAAGAACCCTAAAGCACATAGCATAAGTTATATTGATGTAAAGAGCTAAGGGTTTCTTAAGTAACCTAATGTTTGCTATTGATATTATGAAGGGTTCAGCATATCTCTCCATATTTTAATAACCTCTCATACTCAGATTGATTTGTTGGGTAACTGGCATCATTGATGTCGGCAATCCCTTTCTGCGTTCTTAAGAGCCTGTTTCATTAGGACGTAATCCATATAATTGTAGCTGACTGATTAAATCCTTATCGCTGTTGCTTATAATATTAAGTTTAGCAGTTGTGTGATCGAAATGGATTAGAATTGTCCTGTTTATGCTGCGCATAACTAGTTAATGGGATCGTTGGTCGAAAGTGTAGTGTGATCACATGACTCAAGTTCTTGGTACCTGTGTGGTTTTCTTGCAAGTTGAGACTGTTCTGTTCAGCTTGTAGAGAGCCAAAATAATGTTTGGTTTTCCTAAAAACCAGTATAATAATAAGTTACCTTTCTTTGGAGTGCGTATATAGATGTGAACAAATTGGTTAATCCTTTCATTAGTCTCATATTTGAGGCTGTTTACGTCTAAACCCATACCTTAAGACTGTAAAACCGCGAATGGTTCACCAAATCAATTATATTTCCTTATATTGTAAACATTGAGTTGATAACTGCAGTAGTTCTCTAGAAATAACACATTCTTTTATGGCCTGAGCGTCATGATAATAGGTGGATTTTGTAGAACAGAGCCAATATGGTTGTACTTTTGTTAAATGAGTTGTGTAATAATAATAACAATATTATTATTATTATTATTATTATTATTATCATTAGGATTATATGGTAATTCGGTTGTTTATCTCTGATTCCACTAATATAAGCGTTTACAACATAAGTAACACATTTCTAAATTAACTGCTAGTCTAGCTTCCAACAAGCGATTGCTGTATAGTCAAATTCATATTCTATTCTATTTCTGTTAGTTTTGTGACTTAATGATGAGAAATTAATACTAGCTTACATATGATATTGTTTGTTTTGGAATATTTCATATAGAGAGATAATATTGACTTGACAGTTCATGTTTTCTTTCGGCAAATTTAATTCAATATTAGATCGTTAAAGTTTCCTTTTGTTAAAGTAGCAGATGTCACAGTAATTATTTCAATAGGTTCTCAATTAGACTACAAATATTACATCTTAAACCAAACTTTGAGAGATATAAGTATCATAAAAAATGTTGTAAGGTTCAATAGTCAGTCAGTCAGCTACAACGTAAGATCGGGCATATATATGCATCGGTCCAAGTTGCGATACCTCATTAGTACAACAAGATGATCGCCAAATTCATAGTAGTTACTTTAATGGTAGTAATATATAAAAGGAAAACAAAGAATTTATGCACTTATATCATTGTGATCGATTCTGAGTCATGCCACCCAGAGTCTCCAACCATTGGTTACGATAGTCGAGAGGACTCTAACCAAGTAGTCTGCATCTACCAACATAGCTCAAACCAGAAGTTAGTGACTTTATGGACTGTTTATTGAAAATAGTCCTCCAATATCCTCGTTAATTAAATTCACTGTTCTAAAGGAACTGTTTGGTTATCAATATGAATAATCTAATGAATTCATCTAATGTACTGACAAACAACTGAGCATCCTAATGATCAGTCAAGATGATAGTGTTCAACAACTTCTTTATCATATTAATGTTACAACATGAAAAATCAGTTGAATCCGATTTGAATTTATTTCACTATCCCTAAAAGAATATGTGAAATTATCCGTTCTTATGCAAAATATGTAAATCATTTGTATTTTCTCTGAGTTTTTCTCAGTCGCTAATTAATTATCCAAAGTTTTTGAGAAAACAGTAAAAGTACGTAGAGTAACATTTGTGGTTTTAATACATTCATTGACCATTTAATATTACTCTTGTTTTCTCCTTCAAACAATAAACATTAATTCAATTAATTACTGTAAAAATTTGACACAATATTGTATAGATTTCCTGTTTTAGAATAATTATTTTTAATAGTACAATGATAAAATGTTTATGTAACTCATTTTGCTAAATACATAGGGTTATTTACTCAGTTTTAGGTCATATTGTTTTATGTGAGGCTTAATAATTCTACCTAGGCTGTCTAATAAGCTAGTTTCGAAAATATTATTTATTAGTTAAAAGCTTAGTGCTTTAAGCACTTAGTCACAGCTCTCACGTTGATTTGGTCAGCTGGGGGGTGGTGGTGGTGACCGATAGAGTACCATTGACCTTCAAATAAAACTTTCTAGTTTATTAACCTTTAATTAGTGAAAAAGATAATGGGAGACAAATTCATTAAACCTTTTAGATTTTGTGAATAAATAGAATTATCATCGAAGTTGTTTCACTAAACTTTTTTTCAATCAATAAGTCGAAATGACCAATCAAAGTTACTATGAAACAGGAACTCCACCATCTAGACGTTCATTTTTTTTTCTAGGACCTGTCCTTTACAACTGGCAAATTGCGTTTATTCCAAATTTTTTTATTAATTGAGCAAAACTAACGATCTTATTATCATTGATATCATTACTACTACATATCTTAGTGTCTTGTCTTTAGCAGTGATCTGGATAAGAAAACATATTTCTGCTGTAATCACCTCAGTGTCATATCCAGTTAGGGAGTAGAGTAGAATAGCCTAAGGATTTTTTATAGCTAGCACAATAATTTGCATTTTTTAAATCACGAGGGTGGATGTCAGGATTTTTCGTCTTTTTGATGTGATAGTAAAAAAAAGAACTAAATTTTTTGCTAGTTGTTTTTGGGGCCCGTTTAGTCCAACCGTTATACAGTAAAGCAGTTGTACCGCTCTAGTTAATTAGTTCACTTAGATTGTCTATCTAGTGTCAATCGACGGCTAACCAGTCACACGACAATAGTGAGATAAGAACAACAATAATACTAAATGACTATTGGTACGAATTGTAGTTTTCCGCTCTCTGATTATACAGCTGAATGTATGAGTCACTCATATAGCGTAAAATCCTGACCATGTGTCAATATAATTAAGGGATTGCAATGTCCGCATAACTACGCCGTAAGTGGGAGAGGACTGAGTAATAAGTCCGTAAATAAGCAACGGTGGCTTAAAAAAGGTACAGTACATAATATCAGTATATACATTACTGGAAAGCGTGCAAGTAGGAGAACACTATTTAGTAATTATACAACCAAAATTACAAATGACTTCAGGTAGGACCATTTTGAAAGTTCTACGTTGCTTAGTATTTATCCCGTTATAGCAGGTTTATAAGCATGTAACTATCAGACAAGGCATAGGGATTTGTATAAATAATATATCCAGTTTGGATAAATGATTCATGCCACATGCTGTTCATTACTCCAATATGACTGAGGTTGAAAAACTGGACACTTGAGTTCTTACCCACCGATCTAAAGACGTCATGTTCACCGCAAAACATGATGTTCTCCCAGGTTTTATCATATTTGTTGTGAGAATACAACTTCTGAGAACACTGAAACGAAAACCGACTACCTGTCTGGTGCTTCCCTATTCCGATTGGTTCACTAATTGATATCAGTTTGCGATGTAAACTATTTTCATGCGTTATCACATCTTTGGTTATTTATTTATTTGAACACATAAATATTGGTACAAGAGGGCACCAAATACATATGCACCACACAAAACAATGAGAATTTGAAGAGAAGAAGGAAAAAAAGTAAGGAGCGTAAAAAACAAAAAAAAACAATAACGTACAGATTAGTGTAAGGTAGTGTAATAATAATAATGGAGGAAACGAAAAGGTACAATCAGAAGAAATCTTTCAGTTAAGGAAGAAGCAACCACTTTTTATGAAGAAAGTAAAAGGAGGTTACAGCAGGATTGACACTGGCTTCTATTCTGAGCCATATCTGATAACGTCTCTAGCCACTGTGTCGCACCATCTCTCGGACCCCAGCGAGGGAGTCGTAAAGGACCGACAGAAGCCAGTCCTTCGCAGTGTTCTTTCGTACCACGACACTATGTCATACACTGACCACCTCTCCGCTTCTTCCAACCAGTCCCAGAGTCGGCAAATAATGCACGATGTGGAATTCTCTAGGACGACACTCCTAGAACATGTACAAGCCACCGAAGTCGTTGTTTCAAGATGGTGACACCAATCGCATTATCGTCTCTGTGCCCGAACACACGATGCCGATGGTGGAAATTCGGTTCTATCTAACGTTCTGGAGTCACTGCCTGATTGAAAATCGTATGCTATCACCGAATACGAGTACTGAAGCAGTTTTTTTGAAACCAGCTTTGGTTATATTTATTTGTGAGCGCAAATTTGTTTTACTATTTTATCCCGAAGTGGGAAATTGTTTTTGTTAGTTTGAGAAGTATTGGACAGGTGATGATATTTTATTTAATTCTTTAAATCATATTTCTAGATATTTTGCAATGTAAAAGCCGCCAATGCTAACAAAGGACCGTTTTTTAGTAAAGGTATATGGCAAAATGTATCAGAGTCTGTAATTGCTTATCGTGATGGGAAACAGTCTGTTCAGACTGGTGATACACTTCCTAACGAAAAAAATAACTCATCCTCTGATCATACAGTTAAAAAGCGAGCAACAGCAGTCCTCGTAAATTGGCCTCGTTTAACAACACTACAACTGGCACTTATGCAACAGGCCTGGCTAATGCCTGTTTATGATCGGTTAGTTTTATTTCGAAGCTACTGAAAATTAATAATTGAATTATTAAGTTTTTAGCTTGTTACTTTGGGGAGATCTCTATGGGATTTTTCTTTCATCTTAATATTGCTCAGTAAAACAACTTAAACCGGTGTACTTGTTGTTTAAGATTCATCTGTTTCCTATGTGTGATCTCGTTTAATTATTTTCCTTGTAAGTTTGTGGAAAATCAGCTTAGTTTAGAAATAGTTTTCTTCACTAAGTGACATCTGAATAAGCATTAGAAACTAGTGAGCGTTGGATAGTTGTTTCGCTGTAAACAACTAAAAAAGAAACGGGATAGAAGAAACCGCATTATGGTCAGAACACAACATCGATTTTTGACCTGAATTGTGTACAGAAATACAAACTTCATAATCATGGCGAAAAAAACACACTAGAGAAACTGACAATTTAATCGCATAGTTTAGAGTATGTCGGATAAACATTAATGTATTCATGTTATTCTTTTCAAACCTCGTGGATTTTGTTAACCAGTACAGGTTTATATACCCGGTTTCAAGTTGTAGTGTTTGTATATGAAGGTTTGTGATGTACTACTTGGTTGCTCGAAATAAAGTGGTTGTAGTGGATTTAAAATTTTAATGGTTGCATACTGAGTGGCCTAGTCACATTCACTCTTGTTTTTCCCCTAGTTGGTCTTCGGCTGTTTTTTTAAAGTGGACAACTTGAATCGCTAAATAGCCCTGTCAAATTCTACTTTGTTTCCGTTTCCTTGGTAGCGTAATCAGTTTTCAAACGTAATGTCTAGATTGACATAATCATAGCATGTATAACCCAAATAACCCATGGAAATCCTGGTTAGTTAGTTAATCAAGCCACAAGCAACGTGAAACCTGGTACATATGTGCATCGGTTCGAGTTGCCACGACATATTAGTGTAGCTAGATGAATTGTCAACTTAAAACAGTGTTCTTCATGGCTTTTCACCTTCCCTATTTTATTCAGCCTCGTTATGGATATTCTTTTAGCGATGACGCTCTCGTCGTCTTACTTTTCAGGAATTGACCTCCTGAAAGATTCACTTGTTGACTTAGAATGTACAAATGACAGTTCTGTTTGATGAAGACACCTTGAACAACGATACAATGGTGTTTAAAATGAGACTCTCTCCACCTAAATGCACCTAATTTGCATTAACACCTTATCTATTGATAGAGGTTAATTAGTTGAGGTCGTCAATCACTTAAATTATTTTAGAAGTCTTATCAGCCCTGATGGATTAGTGTCTAACGAAATCTCTTCACGAATTCAGAAAGTTCGATTGGCTTTTCCCAGCTTGATCCATTTATGGCGTAGACAAGATATCTGTCTGCCAATTGAATAAAGAGTATACTGTACAGCACTTCACTCTACTCTACTTTATGGCTGTGTAAAGTGGCCTTCAAAAATAGAGAATATTCATAGAAAACTAGTATTCATTCGTAGTTATCTTAAAAATATCACTCGCGTATATTGAGACCGCCGGGTAAGCAGTTTTGAGGTTGGACTCAGAGTATTAGGTAAAGAGGATAAATCGGTTGATGAGGTTGTGAATTTTTATTGGCTGACATAGTTGGGACATGTTTTAATTTAAATTAATACCACCTACCTCGACTGTTCATGATGACTGGTGTATGAGTATGTTTTGAGGTTTTACCAAAACCAAGGGTTGATTCATGAATTCATTGACTGTTGGACCGAGCCTTGTAAATTGATGCAGACTACCTGGTTAGTATTCGCGTAATTTTCATAACCGGTGGGTGGAGACGTTGGTTGATATCTCAGATCCGTTCACAGTGGTTTGAGTACATTCAATCTATCTTCTCTTAGAATCTGAGTCCTGAAATCTTAAACCTCTTTTTTCTTTCTATGCCTAATCGTTTACCCCACTACTAATATTGTCATTAATCATCCTACTCAGAGATTTGTGTTGATTATTTTATTTCGTTGTGGTAATTTAAAAAGATGCACATATTTACTTGATTCTTCGTTTGCATATGACTATGAACGAGCGAGTTGAAATTTCCAATAAATACTTCAAAGTGGCATTTATAGCAATTTCAATGGTAACAGAAAACCTTGGGCATAGACACTATCATTCGAGAAAAACCATAAAATCGTGAATTAGAAAGTACCAGCTAATTTTAAAACTCGAAATCTAAGGGAAGACAAAGTGTGGATGCCTCTGATTGGAATTACTTCTGATCCTGATGGGAATCTGTCTGGTAATCGTAGTTTATGATTAGAGACCTTGTATGGTTTGATTTTCTTTACTCTAGTTGCTACTATTGTTATCCCAACTTTGACTTTTACCGTGACAATTTCCTTATGTTATACTGTTGCTAAGTGTTTAGATCTCAACTAGTTCTATATTGATGATTGACAGGAATCCTCCTCCTAAGCGTTACACAGACTTCATCTACTGTCATCCAACTGGGTAGTGCTGTACTTTTTGTCGATGAAACTGAATTTCCTTTATTTGCTAGAAAAAGAGCAGTTTAGTTTTTTTGCTGTTAATTGTAATTTCAGTTACACCCTCGTTGTTCAGCTTTTTAATCTTCGATCTCGTACTCCAGAAGCGAAACTTCAAGCAAAGTTAGCTGAAATTGGATTGCTTCGAGCTCGTATTCCAGCATTTTTTGAAACACCTAATATGATTAAATGCTTGGTTGATAGGTCAGATTTCGCTACAAAGGAACGTTTATTACAAATACTTAATGTAAGAGTTATTTATCAATTTGTTTTAAAAAACTCGTTTCGCAATAAGTTTTCTAGGGTTTTAAAGCTGTGTTTATTAGTCGAAGAAACTTTTTTCTTGTGTACTTTTTACTCTCACAATTAATAGTTAGTACGAAAATAATCAATGTAACAACAGGACTAATTTACTGTATAGCACTTGAATTCCTGCAGCAGGCGATCATATTTTTTTCTCTACTACTATTCATCTGAGTAGATAAAAAGTATATGTGTAGAATTGCTGTCTGATTGTAGATATTAAACCGGTCAAAAAAGTATGCATTCTGAAGCAGAATTGTAACAGAGTAACACTTATATCTGGTTCGTTTCTCAGTATTACTTTCTGTTGCGTAGCTTGCGGACCAGTCATGTGTAATAAATAGACTTTTTCCAGTTTATTTATATCTAATCAACGATTATTCAATTAGTTTAACCTATTTAAACTCTATTTGGAGAATGAATCTACAATCAACTATAAATGTTTAAAATTATGATACAGTAAACCAATGAGACCTCGACTCAATAATAAGCCTACGCTGTTGGTCAATATCTGACGTCATTTTCTAAGGAATAGAATGTGACTTATATACGTAGTTATTTCTCGATCTCATTTGCTAATAAAACGCTTGCCGAGTCGGGCTTGCGAATAGGGAGCTTGTTTATCAGTTTCAGGATCGAAAACCTCGCAACACAATAACGATGTGGCCTTTCTTGGTCAGTTACACTGACCCGTTCGTTGGGTTTGTAAGAGTGAATAAATAAGAATATTGTCCGATAGATGATATCTAGTATCTGATAGATAGCTGGTCATGAGGTTGAATTATTGTCGCAAGTTCCCTGAATGAACCCTTATCAAAAGAAGTGGAATTTTTAGTCAAGAGGATAAATCATTTTTCTCTAGTAAAATATTGTGTTTATCTACAGAATGTCGATTGCATACCCAAACATGATTAAATGCCAGTTAACAAACAAATGATTGTAGGTCACTTTTTTTTCGTCAGATATCTTATTTTTATTCAACTTTAAATAAATTTTAATGGTTTTTCTGATTGCAAAAAATTCCCAATATTACTTTCATTATAGCAAACAGAAGTTAGTCTTTTAAATCAATTGGAGAAAATTTCCAAACAACGTATTCATCATAGGCGTAATCATAGACGAGATATGGAGAAACATCATTTACCACTGGTTGCTGTTGTGGGATATACCAATGCTGGTGAGATATATAAGTTTAGATTTTTTTTGGGGAGATTCATCTCCAAATGTCTATTTTCTCCAATTCAGTAAACATAAAAAAAATTACAACAAAATTGTTGAGTTTTATGAGCAAAGGTTGTAGCTCATTAGGCAACAAACTCTTACCAATTATATCTAAGCAGAAAAACTGACAAAAGAGAGCAAATTGAATATTATCCATATAGTAAACTGTACACACTCCATGAGATGCTATGTTGGACAAAGTGTCTTCCAATTTCGTCATCATCTAGATAAAAAACAAACAGGCTTCTTCAAAGTTGGTGTACCGCTTTAGATTAATCTTTACTCAGTGAATTTTCCATTCGTCTATTGGGACTGTAAATGATTAGCGGTTGACTGGTTATGATTTTCTTATTCTTTTCATTCCGATTTTTTGAATCGGTGTATATTGTATAACAATAAGTTTACCACGTAGTTTAAAGTAGTTTCAACTATAATCTGTCGACTTGCCTAAGTGCTGCTAAAAACTAAATTTTATTAAATCCACAATTAACTCTTATTTCTAGTGGTGTCTCTAAGATAATTTTTTACTTGACTTTTGTCAATGAATTTTCCGGATAAGTAACTGTTGCTGACTTCTCTTTGAACTCAAGACATAGCATAGAAAAAAGCTTATGGATAACGTATCAATAGGAGCTACTTAGCTTGCGTTTGTCCAAATTTAACTGTTCAGGTCAGACATATAATTGTTTAGTTGAGGAAGCTAAACCTTAGACGCAATAGCAGACGTGGGATAAAAATGACTGTACTCAAAATTCTGATTGCTGGATTTAGCATATTACATCAGTTAGCGTCTCAAGTCATAGCAATAAGTTGTAATATTTTTATTAGCTTCAGTAAAAGTTCCCATGTGATTGACTGACTGACTGATTATGTTGATATACATTTTTTATTTTTCCAGTCCTTACTACATTTTAAATCATGAACATATGTAACCGAATATTAACGTTTGTTTAGATATGCGCAAATTATTCTCGTCTATCGTTTTCTAATCACAATACTATTATGATTTTTCTCACAACGACCCAGCTACTCTTATTACCTAGCATTCTTCGAACACTTTATTTCACTCCACAAAGTCCCCAAATCAGAACAAAGTTGAACGCAATTATATTCCAAATAAACAAGGTTGAAGGATAGAAAGAATCAAAATAATAAAATGTTACTTTATTTAAAATTTTGTGAGAAGATTCTAGTGTCCTCTTCAAGTATTCGCTAACTCTGATTGGCCAAGAAACAACCCATCAGCGTACTCCAATAAAATCCTGCACAGAACATTTCTTAATCCAATTTATATCCCACCAATTGAATTTTATACTTTTACATGAATATTTCGCTTCATTTTCATGCTTCCATAGGTAAAACAAGTCTTATACGCTATTTAAGCAAATCAGACAAACTTACCTCATCCCCAGAAGTGTTCGCCACTTTGGATATCACACATCATCGAAGTCGGTTGCCTATACTTCCAAATAAAGTAGGAGAGAACAATATGACTTCTAATCAGTTGTTTTCGGAAAATGGCAGCCATGGTGGTTGTTCTAATAGCATAGGATTGCCTGGGATACAAATGTTACTGTTGGATACAATAGGATTTATGTCTGATCTTCCAACTAATTTATTGGCTGCGTTTCGAGCTACTTTAGATGAATGTTTAGATGCAGTGAGTTTGTTGTGTGTCTGTATTTCTTTGATTAAACAATCTCATGTCGTAATCAAATTGCGGATTAACTTGTTTTCATTTGAAGGGGTTTTTAGCACTATAACGGTATTCATATATCAACTTTAAATGATAAATATTTTGCCTTGAATCCCGCAAACTACCCCTTTTTGAAAGGATGACACAAGCTTATATTTTAAATTCTTGTCGGTTTTTCATCTGTTGTATTGTGCTAACTGACAAAACTTATGGTACGTACACATACACATTTATATCAACTAGGTAATTGTCGTGTTTGAAAGATACTACTGCATGTTAGCGCTCACTAGACTTGTAGTATTTTTAAGAATGTAACTTATTGCCTAAATTCGGATTGATTGTTTTTACTTCCATTTTTAATTTGATGTTTGAAGTATGTAAGTCAAAAAATGTACAATGAAACCTACCTATTCGTAACTTTTGTTCTTCTTGTGTTACTACATTCACTTAACCGATGTTCGTTTTGTTGTTCATGGTATTATCCATGAATTTTAGGATCTAATTTTGCACATAGTTGACGTAAGTCAACCTGAATGGCAATTACAAGTGAATCATGTAGAGGAGCTGTTGTGCAATATTGGTGTTATAAAAAAGCCGATAAATTCTGGACACACAAACGATTCCAATGCATTTGAACCACCTCAAGTGTTAAAAATCGGTAACAAACTAGATCGAATGTAAGGAAAGTAAGAGGTCATTTTCTTGTTGACTTTTGTGAAAATGTGTAATATCTAAATTCCAGATTAACATAAGGGTATCATTAAGGTATAAGGTCAATTTATTTCTTGTTATATAACAGTACAATCTTGCCTAGAATATAAAGCTGTATACGATAAAGTACACTTTGCTATTACGTCAAAATGTTGTTGCTTTGGAATAAGGGAAACTTTTGTTTGAGATCCTGTAAGGTCTCATATTTAATCATAGACGTTTTGTCATCAGAATTCGTGACTTTATCAAGAGCGTATGAATATATGAATTGGCATGTAAATATCAAAAAAGGTAATTTGTATGTATATCAGTATTAAATTTGCAGACATTTAAAAAAATATTTTCATCACCTGATAAGTGTATTATCTAAAGAACTGATAGTTGCTTGGAAGCTTATCCTGTCTGGTTCCAAACACGATGAAGAGCGGAAGCAACTTACTTAGGGTGGTAAAAAGCCTGCCCAATGATTGTGAACAGTGGTAGGTAGCGAAGGAAAACGAGATGGAAAGGTAGCGGTGATAGGTGATAGCAGACAACTATTTAGACTTATCAAGGAAATGCGTATTAAAAATCCGGCTGTTAATGAAACCATCTCAGAAAAAGATGCGAATATTCTTCACTCTCGATTCAGGAGAGTGGACCAAAGGGTAAAACAGTCCAACTTACCTTCAGGTTTTGTGACAGTATCCGTCATTCGAAGGCGTACTGAAAAATGCATCAACCCTGTACAGGTTCTCTACTCGAACACTACTGGTCGAGTCAGAGCTTATTAGAAACTGCTATTAAAATTCTTAGCTTCAAGTGGTGTTCGTCATGGTTGTCTACTTTCCCTACTTTTATTTATTTTTATCATAGATATTCTTCAGAGAAAACTCTCCCGTTTTATTTTTCAGTGGTTGATCACTTATCAGAAGATTCACTTTCCGACTTATTACTTGCAAATGACATAGTTCTGCTTGATAAAGACACTGAAAAATAGTCTTGCGATCAACTTGAGCAATAATGCAAGCATTTTTGTAATGTGATTCTCTCCCCTCTAAATACAAAGTGTTACTTCAGAACTGACCTGCATCAGCACCTGAGTTAATGATATTGATTGAAGTAGTAACGCGTATCGATCATTTCACTTATTTTCGGAGTTTCACCAGTCTTGGTGGATTGGTGTCTGAAAAATCTCTATACGAATTCAGAAAGCTCGATTGGCCTTTCCGAACTTGACCTATTTATGGCGTAGACAAGATATCTGTCTGCCAACTAAATAACGTGTGTGTTGTGCAGCCTTCCGCTCTGCTCTATTTTATAAGTGCGAAACAGCCATTAAGAATTGAAGATACTCGTGGGTCGTTAGTATTTAATCACAGGTGTCCTGAAAGCATTTCTCATGCATTTCAGTTCTACTGAATAAGCAGTGCCGAGGTTAAGTGTATGGTACTAAATAAAGATGGTAAATCGATTGATGGGGTGGTACATTACAGTCATATAAGGTGGTTTAAACATCTATTTCATATAAACGACCACTGCCTATCTCAACGTCTGGTCTGATCTGGGAGTAGGTTAAAAAAGATAGGTGTGGTCAAAACGAGACTTGGTACTACCTATAAAGTCATTATTAATTGGATTGAGGGATGTTAATAGGTGCAAACTACCCGTTTGGGGTCTGTGTGACTATTTTAACCGGTGGTTAGAGACTTTAAATGACATTACTCAGAATCGTTCGCGGCGGCTCAGGTGCATCGACTCTGTCTTCCCCCAGATCCTAAGTTTCTAAATTCCTGATAATGTTTTTGTTTCACCGATTTGTGTCTTCTTGAAGCATATATTCAGTGTCCAATCTTCTCTGTTGTTACCACTTCTACTACTCCAGGATTTGGCCTAGCAATTTCATCCCGCTGTGTTAATGAACTATGGAAACATGATCCGGTGTACACACATGCTAGGTTCTACGTTACATTCAACTTAAGTGATTGACTCATCCGTCTCTGGCATGTAAATAAATCATTCCTTGTGACATGAAATATCGGCTATCTTTTATGTGGAATTCACTCCGGAACTGTTGATGGAGGGCGGAATCTGTTAATTCCCCTAGAAATCACTTACTAATTATTTTGTTATTTTAGAGATTTGAATCTCAACTTTGCACACCAGTTCTTCCTACGGTAGTTATCCTTTAGTTTATCGTGTTTAAAGACTTTTTAATTAACTCTTAGCTCTTTAACCATAGCAGGTTTCGCCCTATTTTTAAGGTCATTCTGTATAATGTGGTTATCCGCTTGTGTTGGTTGCTTAAATCAATCCTTTTTGTCTTCCTTGCAAGATGTTTTTGCGGTAGCTCTGGCCAGAAGGAAAATGGAGGCTGTGGTATCCAGATATCAGAATCAAAACTAACAGTCACTGACAGTAGTTTAACGCACATTAGAATTCGTTTTGGTAAATACTTAGTTGACTAAAATTAATCACTATTTATAAAATGATAGGAGCTGATACATATTTTACTATAAACATTATATATTATGTACTTATTAAGTTACTTTGTTTTTTTGTATGGACTTTTTAGTGAATCAAATGATGTGTACACTGGATTTGATGCATTAATATCTGCTAAAACTGGGACAGGTATGAAAGAATTGACTTCAAAAGTTCAACTAGCTTTAATGAAACGTCTTGGATGGTTTTCGCGTACCTTGGATGTTCGCCAAGGTGGTCCTAGTTTTCAGTGAGTATTGGTAACTATAATATAGTAGTTCTAACATCTGTTTCATCCGTAGTACTAACTTTCAGATTTACAGATAAGAACATACAAGTAATTTATAGAAACATCTTTGTTTGTTATTAGAGGCGAAGATTGCTTAAAACACTTAAGAATTTTAGTTTTCCTATATATGCTTGCATAATAGTCATTCTTTTCTCGAATGATATTGGTCATTTGAAGTCGGAAATTCGGTTATGTGCATAGAGTTTAATCGGTAAGATTTTTCATAACCTGGTTGGTGGATGTGGTTATTTAACTAACGTGAACGTTATCAGCGAAAATGCCGAAAATGTATATTATGATTATTAGTCGGATTATGACCAAAACCTGAATTGATACCTTTTCTTGTTGATACTACCCCTAGTTTTTCCTGCCTGAAGTCCACTCAAACTAATATACTACTTCGAGGTAGTAGAAAGTTCCTCCACTTATCTAATAAGTGTCCTATTTAAGTATGTCTATAATCTAACATATATTTTAAACTCCGTACGTGACTTCAACTTTGATCAATCAGTAGATCAGCTAATCAGGAAAGGTGTATTATATACATCGGTAATCAACTTCCATCAACAAATCTCTCATTCCTACCTCTTAAAACAGATAAAATGTTTAACTCCTAGTATTAGCCCTACGACTACCAAATGTGCTATCATCTCTCAGGTTACGATATAACAGGCTACGTTATGGCAGTGCGGAATGATACCTGTTTAATAGGAACATTTAAGATGGGATTTTTTGAGCGGAAATCCTTTTGTGCTGCTCTCTCTCTATATATATGTTTAGATACAATGAAGAATCCTCGAATTAACTTGGACTGAATCTACTGGAACTGAGAATAAATCGGACTAGCTATATTTATTATCTTAACTGTTATGTGATCAGATACTATTAATGTACAAACACTTTAATCATTCTCATTTAATTCAGCAATTCGGAATTAGAAGTTAACAATTTACGCAAAAATAACATACGTAATATATGTAGTACAACACTGTAAAGCATTTGATGGTAGTTTCAATAGCGATTTTTTAAAATTGTATTTCTATCTTTCATATCAGTCACTAAAAAGTATGTAATTCCAAAAAGTGGATTTTTATTGTTTTTATAGATGGATTTATTCTAATGCTATGGTCACAAGCGTGGACACCTCCCCTTCGAGTTCAGAAAGGCTTAGAATAACTGCAATATTCACTCCTGTCGGTTGGATTAAATTTTGCAAAACATTTAAAATGGCATCCTCTGAAAATGTTTCGTAATATTTCTTATAGTGATATTCTTCATAGATATCAAACACTGTATTTTTCTTCTTAAACCATGTCCTTTTACAAATTGTTTGACATGTAATGTTGTACTGTTTTCATAAATTATTTTTTGTAAGATTTGTTTTAACAAAAAGTATAAATGTCGACCACATTATTGTCTTCAGATTAGGGTGTACAGATTAAAACTAGACAATTATAATACTGTATAAATTTTATTCTGAAATATTTATTTCTTAGTATTATGAACATCTTTATGTATAAAATTTAATCATGTTCTTTATCAATTATTTTAATTAAAGTACACGTTGGACGTCCATGTGCGCATTGGAAAGGTATACGACATCTTGAAAGTTCAATTATAAGTTTCTCCATTTGCTTTTTGTTAAGTTTACTTCCGAAACGAATTGCTTGATGGCAAGCTCGACTTTCTAAAAGCGGATGAATTGCTTGCCTGAAAACGAAAGAAAATTTGTTTTATTGAAATTGCAAATTACGTTAATTCTAACTGTGCGAACGCACCAAAACCATTTAAATATTTTTGTGCTTATACACTTACCATTTGTAGTATATTGTTCAGTCTGTCGCATGGTTTACATGCATATCTATCACACAAGCGGGAACTATCGATATTTATCTTGCCAGATCGATTTTATATTTAAGATGAATCCGTCATACTTCAACCTTACAAGTACTCCTTATCACTGTTTCAAGTTTTACGGTTCTTTCTATTTAACCATACCTAGCATCTGACAAAACTTCCCAAAGTTATCGCCGATTATTATATATATTCTGTTAGCTCCCTTCAAGCTGCCTTTCGAATTTTTGTAACTACTCTTGAATTACTTCCTAGATTATTTACTTCGAATACCTACCTTCACTATATAAATGACACCTATCGATTTTGTAATGTTTATAATCGTGTGTAGCCACAATGATAAACTGACTGAGAAACATTACTGCTCAGTAGGTACTTTCTCAACTCTAATTTTTCCTACTGAACATCAACTCATTATATTTCACCCTTTAGTTACTACAATTCGCAGAGTAATACGAACAAAAACCTTTTTAGATGCTAACTAAGACTTATAGGCTTCGGATCACAGTTTTGTGGCTTGGTTTCGAGATAATTCCGTAGGCTTTGCTTATCAATCACCGTGATAACCGTTATTACATAAATCCCAACGGTGTTTGAATTCAGAAGGCAATAAGAAGCGGCGGCTACAGTTTATTAGCGGATAGCACAGATAACAAATTTACAAGAACATCGAGCGAATTGGAGCAGAAAGGCCAATGTACGTGTGAGTGAATACAGAAGTGAATTTATATATATATGACCGACTTACACAAGGCCTCATTTAAAGCATTACGTCTAGCCCATATTTTAGAACAATAGCTGGCGCATCTTTGGATGTCCAAAAGTAAGGATTGAGTTTCGACGTTTCCTAGTTTTTATCTTCAAGTAGAAGTTAACCTCGCAGAAGCGTTCGATCTAATAAATCACGAACCATTCTTACTTTTTTTCATACGAAACTGATAATCCATATAGCCAATACAAAATACTTTAACATAATCGAAACAAAATCCGGATTCTAAATTTTACACAAGTTAATCAGAACCTGGGACTTCTCATCAACGTCTTGAACGAAAATTTGATTATCGCAGCGATAATCCCTCTTACAGCTTACTAGTTCAGTGACTTATATGTGAGGATAGACTTTCATCTCTAAATCCAAATTGTAGATGATTATATCTTATGTTGTTTTTAGTCTCTATAGACATTGCTTATCATTTGCTGGTTGAGTTTCTTGCTGTTTCCCTACCCTAGGATTAGTTCACAAGAACTAGAAGATATTAGTAACTTCTGTTAAGGATTGAACTAAACAGATCGTATCATTATATCCTTATCAGTTTGGCTACTACATTTGCCAGCGTTCTAAAAGAATAAAATGATTCAAGACAAGCTGCAATCACAGAATCTGCTAGCACTAGAATAAAGTACTTTGGGTACAAATCTCTCTGAGAGAGGATCGGAGATATAGCTGAAGATAACAGTCCATCTACTGATCTATTATTCGTTAACTGGCAAAAAACCCAGGTGTTTTACGTGGGGTTTCACAGAAATCTAACGATAGTATACAAGGTATTATGTAAAAGGAAATTAACCGTAGTATGTAGTTCTGTGTGATCATTAGTAGCACAAAAATACAAGGTGGTAACAGTAGATTACAAAGATGGTCCTGAAATTGGTGCATGAAAATTGATTTCGGCAAGAGTTTACAAATTCAAGTCAGTTGCAGCAATAGTCTTTGATATAGTAGCAATAAACATCAGTACTACAAGTCCTGAAACAAATTAGAGAGTAATTCCAGATCGTAAATTGCAAACAACAGAACATTGATATTCAGCAGCTGTTAAAGGGTTTGTGTTAAAATTCTATTTGAGAACCTTTGGAAAAACTTGACTACAATATGTTTAATAATTTGACCGAACCTACCTCAAATATCACATGTAAGTTTGCTCAAGCTCCATCAAAATGAAAGTCTTGGATTTCGATAAATAAAAGATACTAGTTTGATAACCGAAACAACAAATACTTTGTAGAAATTGTTACTGCAACGCTAAGGAATTTTTCTTAACTTAATTTAGTACACTGTCACCTTATGTTATTATTCGGTATCCTTAATAATGATTTTGACGACAATAAGTTTTCTTATACTCTGATGACGGCCGTTGATATACGAGAATATTGTCGGAAGTTTACGAAATTATGACTGAATGAATCTATGTTGAGATTCTCATTTTATCATACAGCAGTCAATTGCTGAATATAAACAACCGTTTTGAAAAGGAAAATTGGATATTTACGGAGATATTGCAAAGTTTAACACAACAATCGACTGAACTATAATGCAATTAAGGACCTTTAATATATAAAGTAAAAGTACATATGACTTTCGGCGACATACGTGATATGATGTATAATACTGACGTTTGATTCATCTCGATTTAACAGTATAACCCGAATACAACTTGCGATAATTTTTCTAAGGAGTTTTTCTGACGAATGACTTTGAGGAATTACTCGAGGGATCATAGTAACGAAAATAGACTGCTCCATAGAGTTACAATCAAGAATAGCCGAGAACCCGTACTTCAATAGCCAACGTAACTTAGTTGGTTCTTGGCTCACTGAATTAAAGATATCGGGAACCGATCGCCTTGATAGTTTTAACGATATTTTCCTGGAAAATATTTTCCAAAGTTGGAGTTCACGTGTTGCTCTATTTGAAGACATTTCAAAATGATTCAAACACTCCTTCTCAAAACATTCAACAAGTATTCTCTCATGGGCAGCATGTTGATCAACTGCAATAATGTAGGAATTCTTATATCTGCATTCATGTGAATTGGAGGATGGTTCTCCAAAAAGTTGATAATGACTACTTTTAGCATTAGCAATCAGCAAGATAAACTTTTTATCAAACTGTCCCACCACTCTAGCTTCTCTTAGACCATCGACAGTCAAACAGCATTCTACGCCCCCCTCATAGAATGTAGTGCACGACAACATATTACATATTATATATTATGCACACTATGGTTCCTTAAAACAATTTAATGTACAATACCAGAAAGTTGCGTTTTCAAATTACGTATATGCAGTAAAATAACTTCTCAAGCAACCAACAAAGAGTAAATAAAGGCAAACAAAAGGAAAATAAAGAGGAAAATGCATTCTAAGAGAAAAGGAAAATAAAGAGGAAAACGCGCCAGAATGTCGCCTTTTTCGCCTGTCCGGGGGAAATAATGCGGATTTTCCCTTTTTTGCTGCTTTGTCGATAAATTACCGACTTTCAGCCAAAATATCTGCTGATTTGTTGCCTATATATCCGCCGAATTGTCTACTTTTTGCCTAAATTTCCGCTGAATCGCCTACTTTTCGCCTACAAATGCGCGTACACACAGAACTCCATATTTTCGATCCATTGACATAACCCCAAAGGTCTTTTATGTTCGCCTTTATTTTCAACAATCGACCAGATTAAAACTGCAGTCCACGGGAAAACCGGTTTATTTAAAAAAATTTATTTAAAAGGAAAAGCATATTATTGTACAACGTTAGAGTAGTAGTAGTAACGTAATGGACGACCTAGAGTTACGATTGGTCCCGATTCCCTGTCCACCCCAGCCAGTTGAGTCCAGAACACAAATCTCAGCCTCTGAGTTATGAATCATTGTATTTCAGACATACTCTATTTATATACTAACCAAACATACCACATCGTACCATTAAAATAGAAAACAACATTTTGTACAATTTTCAACAATTGGACAGATATTGACCAGTAGGAAATGTCCATTTAAAGTCCAAGGACACCATTGGACTTAACATGATAATTATTGGTCTATCCTTCGCATCCACAACAAAAGTCCATCTATATTGATATATAAATTTAAATAGTCAAAATCAAAATTACACAGTCAAAGTCGAAGGACTGTCAGTACAATTGATCTCTCTCTCCACTTCAATCAATTCAATAAACATCATTGTAACAGAAAGAGAACGATGAAAATCTCTCTGCAGCTACTTTGTTTAACAGTATTGTCATTTATTTGTTCCTCCTCTCTTTTGTGTATTTTAACATTTGTTCAGATTTCGTTTAACCATATCTTTTGTTCTTCAGCCTTCCTCGTTTGAGCCTTTACTATGTGATTTTGGTCAAAGACTTATCTTTTGTCACCTAATTTTCTATTGCATGTTGCCGGACTATTGATAATAAGGTCGTATTTGACTAAGCTCAGGGTCACTGCGTGGTCCGGTGTGTGACTGTTAACCGTTTGACTGTCTGCTTGGGAGGATTGTTGGAATCCCTGCGGATAGATATTTGATCCCGTCTTGTCGAGAATATTTTTTTTGGTTCTCAGTGCGCTTCTTTGCGTTAGAAAAACTTCTGACTGTATAGCACAGGCTGTACCGTTTTAGGTAATCTGTACATTTGATTTAATTTGTTCTGTTTTCTAAATTAGAACCGTTTATACTGAGCACAAAGTTTGTGTTTTGATATAATACATTACGATTATCTCAAAAACGCGTTGTGAGCTATACAGAGGAACGTGGTCTAATCTAATCGAATAAATTTTGGGTTTGTCAGTCCATTGTTCCAACTGAATATTGGTTGTTTGGTCGCTACAACCACTGTTAAAGTCAGTTACCTTTTCTGATGCTTTCACTAGCAAACTCATTGAACGAAAACAAGTTATGTTTCTTCATGAAAGCTGCACGCATTTTATTCCACCT